GCCTTACTAGTAGTAACAAGAAGCTATTAGAAACAAGTGCCACGCTAATAGTAACAGGTGCCTTACTAGTAGTAACAAGAAGCTACTAGGAGCATTTCTTTCATACCCAAGCCACTCCCACTCGACATCACCACCTGTCAGTTCCGCTCCCAAGCGCCCTGCATGACCCAATCCACCACGATGACAATCAAGTCTGGCAGCATCCAAGTCCTCAATTTACAAAGAGAGAGCTGTCTGGACAACACAGTATTGGAATATACAAATGATTGAGTACTTTCCAAGCTGATGCTTTTCAGCTTTTGTGGGATGTCGCAATCACTGGAGATCACTTGCACTTTGTTGTTCCAAATGGCACTGGCTCCATTCTGCTAGGTAGAGAAGCAGGCTGGCCAACAGGCTGGTGTCCCTCAATCTCCAGCAGAAAGCATCTCCCTATCCTCTCGACTTTTGGCAATCGCCCCTCAGCTACGTCGGGTCTTTACTAAGAGATTTTCTCTTTTGTAGTGTCACTCGTAGTTGTACAGAAGACCTCCTCAGCCGAAACAATCAACTCGCATCCATTGACTGCAGTTCATCATACCTGTCACCATCCTTGTCACCCCTTAGTACTCATAGTACTCCAAAGAGCGAATAAAATTAACTGCGTCACTCCAAAGAGCAAGTCTGTGCACGGTCTGAGGATCGAGGTCGACCCCGTACCGCCGTACCCCAATAGTGTATCTCAGGTATAGATCGGTGGATCTCTTCTCCCTTCACTGAGCGTGTGGCCGCGCATAACGAGCTGCGGTCTGGGCGTGCCAAGGGATGGAAGTATCATTCATTCCCACCCAAGGGAACTGACAAACTCGTGCATGTTTGAGGCCGCAGGTGATCCGCTGTCAAGAACAATGCCGCAGTTCGAGGGATCGAGTGCGGCAAGTGGGTTTCCTCCGCCACATATGTGCTCGCTGGGTCGGCTTGCCTTGTTGGTCGCAGCCAGGTTGCCATGCTTCACAAACGACAAACACTGTGACTCCGGGCTGGTATATAAGTGAGTGGCAACTGGGAACTTTCAAGATGGCTTCCCTTGCATTGCCATTAGCATCCGCCTTAGAATGCTCTCCAGCCTTCGAAAGCTGCGTCTCAATCACGCCATCTGCTGTATCGTACCTGTTGGAGGCCACGATCGAGCTCCGAGCGATCGTCCACGCGATCGTCCACGGTTCCCAACAGTCCTGGCTCTCACAAGAGTAGTCTTTGACCTACTCAAACACTGTACATTGGATGGAACCATTCATTCATAGCGCCCCGTTACCAGAATGATTTTACATCTCCATAACTCATCAACAGTCAACATCAAGTAGGGATTGTTTTGGTTCCGCTACTTTCGTCCGCCTTGCCCCCAAAGGATTCAATGCCGGATGACACTGGTGCCCCTGCGTTGCCGCACCCGACAAAAAAGGAGAGGATGAAGTCGAAGGTCCAAAACGTGGCCTTGGACCGGTGACATTGGCGACATCCAAAGAAACTGCCATAAACAGCTAGTATTTATAATATGTAGTTGTAGCATGTTATAGCATGATATAGCCTGTTATAGCAGCTGTAGTTGAAACATTGTTGAAACAATAGTCTTGAATCATTCAGTCATTCTTTAATGTTTAGCCTACGTAAGTAGATCAGCTATGATGGGTTCAAACCGATAGATTTGGTCCCCGGTCAATCCCTTTTCGGTCCGTTTCAACTCGCAACAGGCGCAATTTCCTCCGGCTGAGAGGAATCCTTCTCAGCCTCTCAACCGAAAAATCGTGAGAGGGGAATCCAAACGGCTGAAAGAGCAAACCCACGATTTATACCAAACGGCTTTTGCTCCTTTACTTTTTTTGCCAGCCCTTTTCAGGCCAAGCTGCGGCAACGACGTTGGGCGTCAGGAACAGGTGCCTCCGTGCGTGGCCGCACGCTGAACGGCACCGAGTCCGGCGCCGCACGAAAGGGAGCGAACGTGGTTCCGGATGAGAAACAGCATCTCCTGTGAATTGAGTCCAGGTTTTGACATCTATAATCATCTATATATATATATATAATACCGCTCCAAACAGGTGATGTGGAACTTGAAATACCAACTCTTGACTTTCAGGGTCTATCAGGAAATTCAGAAATCGCGAGGCAGTTATATAAAGCAACATCGGATTTGCAATGCTACTGCAAGGTTCCAGCAGTTCTCATGTCTTTCAAGTGTTTCAAACAATCTCAATTTAGGATCTTGCATATTTTCAGCATGTTCTCTACCAACCAGAACTCTTGGCTCAACTCCCAAAAACATCTTTTTTGAGCAACCCTCCATCCAAAGCATCACTTGCGAATTGAGCCAAGAGTCTAGCAAGTGGGTACGTATAAACACACCCTGATTATCAAAACCAAATTCCACCCACTTTCCACATCATCTCATGTTCCTGTACACTCTCACAATCACGGCCGCGGTCAAAAAGACACCACCACGCCACGCCGCAGTAGCCGGGGCACTCGATGCGAAAGGCCGACAAAGGAAAGCTCACCTCGTGGAATCGGCGACGAGCGTTTCTGACGTCAAACATCGGCGGTTTCACATCCACTGATCACTGTAGACCCCAAACCAGATGGGTTCATCATGGTTGATCTAAGCCACAAAACATGGCATGTGGAAAAGACATCCTGACACCGCAGTATCCTTCGAACGGATTGGGTTTCCTCATGTTTCCTCTACATTGAAACAAGCTAGCGCGAGAAACTGCACACATGTTTCTTTCTCCACAATCTTTTTTTTTGGTCTATCTGCATCAAGAAAGTACCGCGATGTCTCTGATATGTCAGGTCAAATGGACGAATTAATGGATTTCAACGTGCAGTTCAAGAAGAAACTGAAGCTCCTTAATGTTTGTATTCCAAAACAATATACAGTCGCTTTTCAGCTGCATATTGTACAAGATCGAAGGCCTTCAATTCGATGATCCCGATCCTTCAATTTGCTGTGAGAAACTTCTCAAGAGACCAGTCCCGGGGCTGATGAGTATGTGGCTGGCAAGGCCGGTGGAAGCACAAACGAGTTAGACCCCCCCGTGTATCCGATCGCGTATCCAATGTTTCTCGCAATGACACTATACTTTGATGCCCTTGTCCATAGAAGCTGAAGAAAGGCGACAGCAATGACAACTCGATCCCAGTACTAAGCCAGGGACGCAGTCATAGAAGAGCACTATCAAGAAAATGAGGTTCCAAAAGAGGAAGGTAAAGCTTGAGGGCCTCCAAATCGACCATGTTGCGTGAGGTGTTCAGGAAAAACAGCTCAAGATTGTTCACACAAAGCACTGGCAACTGGGCACCAGGTTCTACATTAACTTTGCTCTGTCTGACTTAACATCGTACAACACTGAGTCCAGTGTCACCCGCAATCATCCGCAATCACCAATGACTTGTCTCACGGACGTCTTGCAGCGAAAAACACCGAACCGCTTGATTCCACGGCGAAAGCGGTCCTGATCGTCCAGGCTTTCGCGGCGGTGACGAAGGTCATCGAATTCTGTTGCAAGAGCTGATGTGTCTCCACCGTCGCCTCACCGGCATCGGCTGAACCCCGAGTCTTGGACGAGCGAAATGGAACTTTGAGACCGGCGGCTTTGAAGGCGAAGCTTGTGCGGTTCAAAGAGATTGGGTTGGGTTGGTCAATAAGCGAACCTCCCCGCAGAGCCAAAGCCAATCGGCCAAGCCAATCTGATAACCTTTGTTTTTCATTCGGTTCCGTTCTGTAAACAAAAAAATATGAAGACGAAACCACCACCCAAACACGGGTTTGAAGGTGTTGTATCGATGGAAGCATGACATGAAGCCTTTGGCCAAGAACTTTGGCAAGTAATCCACTTCGGTGTCTCTGAGATCCCGGGTCTTCCAGGAAAGGTTCAGTGCACTGTAAGCTCCATGAGTCACTCTGCACCTGCTCCCTTGGTCATCAGGCCTTCGACTTCTCCTGCGCCATGTTCCGCACCACATCAACGCTATGGGACTTGGACTCCTGGGCGATGAAGAACAGCACCGACTCGAGTGAACAGCGACTCTCAAACAGCACCGGGTGAAGATCAAAAGCATTCACAGATATTGGCAGCATTGGCAAAAATGGGTTGGGATTCCGTTGTGAGAGATCGGTGAGCATCGATATCTGATGTGTATCCACGAATTACAAGTCTAAATTGTCAACTTGCAATGGATCCATACCCGAGCCATCGCTTGTTAGCCACTCGCTTTGAGGTTTATTTGGAAGAAGCAAATCATATCATAAATAATATATTAGTTTATAGGAATTATAGATGTCTTTAGTCCTTTCATCCAGGAAACCACGACAGTCACGGACAACTCTGCTTTGAGAAACCTTGACCAAATGCACTTCATCCTGTATAGACATGGTGCACTAGTGATGGTTTCATGTTTCCACCTGAGCATCAATCGTCCACTCCTCCCCGGTTCAAAACAAAGCAACCCACAGATGCTGCGTCATGATTGGATCGACCGTTTGGCTGCGTCCCATGGTGACCGTATGACCGCCACGCGCTCCTTCCACACGGGCCACGGATGGATCAAATTCTGCCCAATCTGGCGCCGCGATGGAGGCTCTGGGACCGGACGCTGCTAGGAACAAGGACGCTACCAGGGGCTCCTGGCATCGCTACTAGGAGCAAGAAGCTATTAGGGCTAGGGGCTCCTGGCCGTACTACTAGTAACAAGAAGTTACTAGGTGACTGAGGCAACTGGTTGGGACTGGCGCCGGTTGTTCTTGCTGGTTGGGAGCATGCCTTGCCATCCCAAGAGAAAGCCTCCAACTTGGTACAGTTCATGCGAGAACGAATTCTGCTCGGTCTTGTGGGCATGGACAAAGGTGACATAAACATCATAAACACGGGTGTCGAGGTTCTGCGTGGTTCAGGGTTCTGGAAATGCTTCCTCCATGACGGGGTGGTATCGGCAAGACTTGGACACAGGGTTCAAAACGGACAAGGTGGATCCAATGGATAATCGGATAAACAACACAGAATAGTTCTTGGTGATTGAACATCTGCTTTCACTCAAGAAGCAGTTGCTTCTCACCCTCACTGCCTTACACTGAATGGATCTTACATGCCACTGGCAGTACACTGCCAGAACAGTTCTCATGACCGTACATTTGAGTCTGTGGTCAGGTCCAGGTCAATGCGCACGCGCGTGTGCATGTGACAGGAGACCTTTCTGGGTGGCACCAGATGGCCAGGACGTGCCACCACGTCCAGCCAACTGTGAGCCGTTTCGAGAAACCACCGCCCGATGCCTGCATGGAGGGACGGATCCCAATGCTGAGAAGACTGCTCCCGTCCATGTCGTCCTGCCAGGTGCTGTCGAAAAACATTGGTAAAGAATTGGTCAACAGCTGTGGGGCATTCCCTCCATTTGTAGGTCGACATGCAGGGAGTGTTCATAGGAATTTGTTCACCTCCTGCCTGCTCCTGACTGTTGTCTTGTCTTTCTTTGATACTCTGTAAGCATGCGAAAGGAATTTCTCCATTTCGATCCATGTTGAGGTTAAATTTCTCCTGGCCCTTCGGACTGCGACAGTGTTCCCTAAATACATACCATAATAATCCATCATATACCCACCCTTGAGATGTGAACAGGGCGGGCCCAGGGTCGTGTCTTGGTCGGCGTCGTCCATATACCTTGATACAATCTCCAAGAAAACCACACTGACCATCTCTGCACTGAGGCGGACACAACCACAAAAGATTCCCTATTCCCTGGTAAATGTATCCGACCCAACGATCCTTTTGAAGACTTTCCTGGGCGGTGCCGTGCACATCCAATGAGGTTTGCAGGTTGGTTTGCAGTGGAGTGGAGCTTTCTCTCGATGCTCTTTCGTGTTTCAGATGCGGTTTCTGAACTTGTGTATTGAGAGCGACAAATCAATCAATGAGCCATATGCAAGTGGAAGCTTGATGACGCTTGTGACGGCGTACGACCTTACGCAACCTTCTCCAATGTAAAGGGTCAACTTCTGTTCTATTTCACATTCTGTTTCGATGTGCATTTCTGTTTTTCAAGTAGATGTCTCCCAAGTGCGATCAAGTGGCACTGCTTCGACCTCAGAAAATGACATGGTCGGTGTACTAGAACTAACGACCTCCAATTGTCGGTTGTTCTTAATGGTCACCGACGTTGACGACCCACGAGACGTGGAGAACTCATGACTTGGCGAATCACCATTTGAATACGCCCTTACGCCCTGCCCGTGCTCTTTAGTGCAAGGGATGGCATTGGTCCCGTTTTGTCACAGAGTCACCCATCATCTCCTTCTAGAGGACTGGCCAACCCTGAATTAGACAGAACTTCATGTTAACTTAGCTTTTCAACTGCAGTTGTCTTGGCTGATGGACAGCGCAACATGATATCGTGCAAAACAAAAAACTATCTCTGCAATGGATTGCAAATTGTGTGTCCTCACCTCAGGGTCATCAACCATAAAGAAAATCATCCGCAATAGAAGCATACGCCAGGGTGGCAGTATGTGGTAGATGTGGTATTTCATGCGTAAGTTCAACCCTGACTCTTTCCTGTGTTGTCTGAGCATCCCGCCAATCGCACTCTTGCTGCCTCCACTGCGAGCCCTGGCTGCGTGGTAGATAGGAGATGGACCCACCCAACAGTTGTCACAGGCCCTGTTACTAGCTGGTAGTAAACCTCCCTGCCTTCTCAAAGTGAAAGGTGCTACCACGAAACCAATGTGCCTCACCACATGGTCTGGTGATGTATATATGTGTATTTAGGGTTGACATGCACTTACTATCACTCACTGTATTGTTTTATTGCATCCCCATGATACCGTCCTACCTCGACCGGAGAACTCCACGCTGGGGAAACTGGGTTGCACGGCCTCTTGAGAATGACTCGACCTCGAAGACCTCAGAATGACTCGAGGAGGAATCTTACCAACCACCCTTGGGTGGATCACTGGATAGGTCAAATGTGTGATGCAGTCTGATCCACTTAATGTTTCGTTTTCTGGTTTCTACAGGCTTGGTGATGTTGAACAAGGGTGAACGACTCTTCCAAACTGCGTTGCACTTCGTGCAGCTGGGTGCTTGCTTTCCCAGGCGGACGAATGGGAGCCCATTTAATCCCCGTGGGAATTTCAGGTAGGAGCTGGGGGCCAGATTTTATAGAAAGAACCAGGTTGGGGTGGATATTTGGTGACTATAGAATCCTAAAAACAGCATGCCTGGACAAGTGGCCACTCTATAAAAGCTGGTGGCCCAGGTACCCCCTGAGACACTGTTCCCTTGTTTTTTATAATTTTATAGTGCTATAAAATCAGAGTTCAAAAAGGGGAACACAGAATCAAACAGAAAAAAGTGGCCCGTGCCACCTCAACAGTACTGATTTTATAGTCATCATAGATGTTATGTTATGTTTGTCTTTTCATTTTATTCCGGAGCTTCCAGATTTCACTTGATTTCTGACATTTGTCTTTTGCATTCTTTTACTATATATTGGATTGGTCTCACATAGTTTTCAAATGTTTTCAATTGTTTTCTTGCGCTTTCATCAGGGCCTGACAGCAGCGTTTTTGGACGAAGCAAAAAAACATCTTCAAACTTCAGCAACAATCCTTCTTCTCTATAGAATCTAGTTTTCAACTCCATAGCCCACTTCTGCTCTCTATAGAATTCTAGTTCCTGTGTTTGATAACCAATATATATTCTGTAAAATGAGTCCTTTATAGAATTCACATTCCAGTTTTTTTCTGGCCAGGCTCTTCCTATAGATTCAGTTGCCTGGTTGCTTTGGCAAAGCTGATTTCTCTATAAATTCTGATCCCAGGTTGCAAAAGTGCTTCCTATAAAATCCCTGAACACAGGTCTGGCCGATGCCAAAAAGTATGTTTCACTGTGTATTTTTTTGAATTTTTACTTATTGATTTTATTTAAAAGAAAGCTGATTTCTGTACACGACTCCCCTGATTTTATAGAGGATATTCTCAGGGGGATCCCATTTGTATAACTGAGAGACGTCTCCTGTCTCATCACGCCAAGCAGAAGTTTCTGGTGGTTCTTCTGAAATACCCCATCCCATTTGGCATATTTGGTCATATACCCCATCCCATTTGGCATATTTGGTCATAGGGATGTGACTCAAACTCAAATCTAAACCGCATGGGTCCAACTCGAGATCTATGATGTTGGATGATTCCCCGACATCCCTGATTCCCTACCATCCTTTGGCAAACATGTCTGAGACTTGCCCAGGGGTCTGCAAATCGATTGATTCGTTCGGGCAAGTGGCCCCTAAGATCTAGGTCTCAGGGATGGGATGTTCCTTTCATCCATGTTTTTAGTCACACAATAGATGTTTTCCTGTCATCAATAGAAAAAACATCCGCATTGTTTTTCTATCTATGTTGTTTTTCTTTTGAGTCTTCCAAAGCTGTGGAGAAGATTGTGAGGGGTTGCTGCCAAAGCCACCGGGCCCACAGCCACCCACACCGGTCGATACCGGTCGATGGCTCAGGGCCCCCGAGCTGCCGGAGCTCGACTCCTGGTGGCTCTGGGCGAAGCGGAGCTGCCCGGGTGCAGCGCGGGACTCGGTGGCCTGGCGCGGATTTTCGTTTTCAGCTTAGCCGTTGTGGAAATTTGGTCAGTCCCAAATGAAGAATTGGATTGGTTAATTTAACATGGTACTTCAGACACATACACCGTATTATCCTCATGTTCTCCGTTATTCTATCATACATGTGGATAATACATCATCGCATCATATGTTGTCCAATGTCTCCCAAAAACCTATATATAACACAAATTAATACAATATATATATATATATATGTATATGTGTGCGTACCAACATGTACAATCATGTACATACATCTGTGCAATTAAAGTACTTCTTACCTCGTGTCCCTCATTTTTGAATTTGCATCCCGGGGTTTAGTACCTCGCCCCATGACATACGGTCAAAAAGCAAATGGGCATCGTTTGTTCCACCTCGTGCAGCAACTTAATTCTGAGGGGCTTGGCCTGGGTGATGACGGGCGCGGGTAGTACTGGTTAGTAGTTAGTAGTTAGTAGTTAGAAGTACTACGTAGTTGTTGTAGTAGTAGGAGCAGGAGCAGGAGCAGGAGCAGGAGCAGCAGTAGTAGTAGTAGTAGTAGTAGTAGTAGTAGTAGTAGACTAGTAGTAGTAGTCTAGTAGTAGTAGTCTAGTAGTAGTAGTAGTAGTAGTAGTAGTAGTAGTAGTAGTAGTAGCAGGAGTAGTAGTAGTAGTCGTCGTGGTGGTGGTGGTGGTGGTAATTATTTGTCGCTGTAGTTGTTTATTACTACCCTATCCAACACCCTTAAATTGCCGTAACCCACCTCGTGCCTGACCTGGTGGTAGTGGTAGTAGTAGTAGAGGAGTAGCGGTAGTGGTAGTGGTAATGGTAGTGGTAGTGGCAGTGGTAGTACGTAGGGCTGTTTTTGTTCTTTGAAAGGCTTGCTTACGGCCTTCGGCTGCGAAACTTTGCCTTGGCCTTTCATAGAACAAGAACAGCCCCACGACCACTCGAAACTGTGATTTTGTCCTTCTCGACCGCCTGTCCAAAAGAGGCCTTGTTGCAGAGCCTCCGCCAGACAAAATCCTTGTCAACGAGACCCCACTTGCTCCACTGACCTGAGGATTCTGTTTGACGGGGGCTCTTCAACAAGGCATGACAGTTGAGCAAAGAAAGGCAAAATCATAGTTTCGAGTGGCCGCTTCCTGAAGCCGAAGGACGGTCGAATGATATTGGAAGGTATATAATTACAATGCTTCCAGGTCTGAGCTTTACCACAAAGCAGAGTGTGTGTGTGTGTGTGTGCAGGAAAACCGTGCCCTTCCGCATTGTCCGGGATAGCAGCGCTTTTTGCCGCCCATCGCTTCTTCAGAAGCCGAAAGCCGACGCGAAAGCTGAACAGAAAAAGGGAAAACAAGCGTATAGCTAGGAAAAGGACGACGCGAAATAGAAAGGTCCAGAGTACAAGGCACATGCAGCCCGCATAGAGGGTCTCTGCCCAACTGGAGGAGTGTTGCTTGCACAGTGCCAACATGTCCATACATGCTTGCAAGTTCTTGCGTGCGTTAGCCGCTTTCCAATGCTTTCCCAATCCAACACAAATTCTTCCTCCTCTCCTCACTCCTCATTCCTCTTCGCAAACAATGGCAGCAGTGCGTGCATGTATGTCGTGCATCTCTGCCTTGAGAACGTTGCGGGCGCGCCTGTTCCCCCGCCCATACTGAGAGAAGTCATCACCTCATCATTATCGTTGGCACCACAAACGCAAAAGGTTTACCCATTTAGATATGTCATCCTGGCCCGAGTCAGGTCTCATCTTATCTCGTCGGCTACGAACCAAAAGCTTAGGGAAGATTGTTTGCGGTGTTCGGTGGGAAATGATATGGGCACGACATGGACCGTGATGGAAGGAAGACGCCCGGGAGTGAGTGAGTGAGTGAGAGAGAGTGAGAGTGAGAGGGTGTGAGAGTGATGAGTGAGTGAGTGAGTGAGTGAGTGAGAGAGAGTGAGAGTGAGAGGGTGTGAGAGTGAGAGTGAGTGACACTCTCACTCTCACACACTCACTCACTCACTCACTCTCTCTCACTCTCTCTCTCTCACTCACTCACTCACTCACTCACTCACTCACTCACTCTCTCCCTCTCTCTCACTCTCTCTCTCTCTCACTCTCTCTCTCACTCTCACACTCTCTCTCTCTCTCACTCTCTCTCTCACTCTCACTCTCACTCAGAGAGAGAGAGAGAGAGAACGGCTTCGAGGTTCACAAAGTGCTGTGCCTGCCACGAAATCTGCACTTCGAGTTTCACAAAGTGCTGCGCCTGCCACGAAATTTGCACTTCAAGGTCCACAAAGTACTGCGCTTGCGACATTCACTGCGCCTGCCAGGAAAGTAGCGGAGACGACAGCGCGACATCTCGATTAGACACCGCTTAACTACTACGGTGACCACACTGCTTGGGGAAAAATGCAAACCAACGTGCCGGAGCCAAACAAAATATGGTTTCACGTCGAGTCTATCCGTTTCACGCCGAAATCTCAACAGCAAAACCATCAAATCTGTTTTCAACATCAAGGCGCCTTGAAAACGCGCCTCTAGGCAATGCGCTGCGATCGATCCAGGGCCCCCTGGTGCACCATGATCTGGTTGGTGAGAACGCGTCGCCCGTCAAAAGCTTGCTGTGACCTTCCAATCTGCAGTTGTCGCACTAATCAGATTCACATGTGGGTTGATGTTGGGTATCTAGATGATCCTTGGTTGGCATTGTTCGGAAGGGCGCAAAAGAAGATTCTGCCCCGCCGGATCTGAGGAATTCTTGCGCGATAAATCCCGAAATCCCCGCAGGCTTCTGAACGATTTCGGAGAGTGCTGCAGTTGTCATTATGGCTAGCCACTTGAGACGGTGATACCCTGCCTGAGTCCGCCATCCTCCACTTGACCTTGCTCTTTGTCGGCCTTGTCCAAGCCTCAGTCGTCCTTTGTGCTGCCCCAAGAATGTTAATGAAGTGGCACCGTTTTTCTGCGAAGAACATGGGCCGGGCGATCGTCTTGGAGCTTTGGGCCCGACACAGCTGGGATCGAGCCACCCTTGCGCGTAGCGACCCACCTGGGAGACGAAATGTCGGTTGGCAGCAGCAGCAGAAGCAGCAGGCAGCAGCTCTCTGTGGTTTGAGTCTGAGTGACTGGTCTAGGATGGTCGCTTCATGTAGACCCTAGAGCTTTGGGCATTTTAGGCCTCAGTTTTGCTGCAGGAAGTGTGTTCACATTTCGAAAGCAGCCGAAGGTCTAAAACGGTTTCCTCAGACTTTCTACGCCTTAAAGATTGCGCAGGTGACCAGGAACAATACTTCAGAATGCAGTGTCTGGGCCCCTTTGTCAAGCAACCAGAAAAGAAGTCTTCATTAATCTTCTTCATTTTGTCTGTTCACTGATTTTCCCTTTGCTTTAGAACCAGCTGGTGTTCGAATGGCGCTTCCAGCTTGGACGGTTTCCATTCCTGGTGCTCCTGCGTCATCCACCCTGGCGTAGGTGGACGGAAGGTAGAGGTTGGAAGTAAGGTCTCTATGGAAGGGCAAGGTCGTTGCCAACCCATCGAAATCTAAGACCAGATTCGCGGCCAAAACCATGCTTTTTAGTAAAAAAGAAATCGTCCTTCTCCAATAAAAAACACCTTCTCTGTTAACTGTTTTTTGGGGGTCTGCCTCAATGCACAAGTTTTACAAAGCCAGAAACCGTGACAAAAAAGGTTTTCGTCCAGAATGTAACATGTGTTTTACTAAAGAGCTCAACCAAAGGTAACCATGAACCGAAAAACGTGTTTGCTATCCACACTCCTAACTGCTACACAGGAAAAGAAGTGAGCTGACGGGTTGCAAAAAAAGAATTCGTTTTTGCAGCAACGCTTATGACCACAGCTGCTGCAAAGTTGATTTGCTTGTGAGAATGCATGTGAAACAACGGTCAAATGACAGCAGGTGATTTCAGCTCTTTTTTGCCTCTTGCATACAGATCGATTTGCATCACAAATGTTTCCTCTTAGACATCTGGGCGTCAGAGAGGTTTCGGTCTACACATTTCCAAAACCCAATCCAATTGAATTGGCGTTGGCAAATAGAACCATAAGGGTACTCCTGTCAGCACATGAAAGGTTCGCGCCCAAAGAGGTTTGCCAGCTGCGATCAGGTTTCCAAAAAAAGGCGGTGTCGAGCACAGCCTCACAGGCCATGAGAGGATTTCAGTTCAAGACGCGCACAGCTGGCACAAGGCATCTTTGTGCTCACATGTGTTTTGTTCTTGATATGCTCGCAACGGTGGATATGAAAGCGATTGCCACTTGTTGTCACCAAAACCTGTGGTGGCAACCTGATGGAAGGTTCAGCCATTTCACCAGACAGGTCTGTCTGGCATGCTTTGGTGTGTACAGGCACCATCTTGTGACCAGCAGCTTTGGGGTGCTTTGCCATCTGGTGGTAGCACCATGACAAAGTTTCCCGAGCTACCAAGGTCAGCATGCACACCAGAGCAACAAGCAACTCAAGGGCGCCCATCCTTTGCTCACCAAAGCTCACCAAAAACCAAACCTGTTAAGTAAGATGGTGTTGTCCCTGCCTTCAATGCAAATGTTTGATGCGTTGTATGGGTTCTTTCTGCATCTTTGCACGCAGCTGTGTCTATTACATGCCCTCCTAGAAGTTGGAAGGTTTCGTGGCCATAAGTAACCCCTTTTGAACCTGCACAAAGCTGCAAAGCAAACGGTGTTGGTGGATCATCGCTTGCTTGGCAATTATTTACAGAAAGGTTGCAGACTGCCAGCTGCCAAGTGTGCGTGTTGGAGTATTCTGAAAAAAACTCATCCCAAAGAAGTTGCACCTTTTGTTGAGAGGTTGAAAGGGACGGGCGCGAGGGTCCAGGCACACGCAAAAGAGACTGTCTGAAAACAACATGTTTTGTCGTAAGTTGTATGTGGTGGCTTCTTACGAAGAGCACGTGGTGAGAAAAAAGCACACTAGCAAACACAAAGGTGCACGGAGGGAGGCGTGGACTTTTCACTGCTTTCGCTCAAAGTTTGGGTCGGCCAGACTGCCGCCGGCCTTCTGTTGCAGAAACCTTTTGGCCCTGTTGGCCACATGAACGGGCTGAGGTCTCAAGGCTCCTTGCATTGCTGGGTCTACTGGGTAAGAAGCTTAGTGAACAAGAAAACAATGACACAAAATGGGTGGCTGTCCTATCCTTGTCCCTAGCTTGAACCCACAAAAAGGAAATGAACATAAACACAACACTACTTACAAAGCAACCACTTCTCTTGCAATGCCTCCCTCCCTGAAACTCAGCTCCTTACAGGACTAGGGGGACTTGGGGGCTCGGATACGAGAAGCTGTCTCTCAGTCTCAGAACATCACGTCGTCAAGGTAGCTAAGCTTGCCAACCAAAGGTTGCCAGCGCCTGCGTACAGGAGTTATCTGACCACCCCGTCAGAGCTCCTGCCACAGCGCCTGGCCCCTGTGCACACCAACATGACTGCTGACGTAGCACTCTTCCCAAAAGAGAAAGCAAACAATGCTCTCGAGGCCCTGACCCTGACTGCCATGAATCTAATCTGAGCGCTGAGCACGCCAATCGGCAAAATCCATCCCAGTCAAAACAAAATTCACCAGCAGCCCTGCCTTGCAGGCTGCAAGGACTGACAAAGCTCTGCTGGCTGCAAGCCTGAATCTACGCAGTAGATCCTGAGCCAGCACTTCCCAAAGCAGGGGTGGACTTCAAGCGCTTCAACAGGGGCTGCGCTGCTGCTTCTGTCAAGGCCAAGTTCTCGGCGTCTGTCGGTGCCTTCAGCTGCAGCTGCAAAGCTTCAAGCAGCTTTCCAGTCTTGAGACCTTGCAAGGCTGCATTGTCTTGCACTTGCTTGTGACAAACCTCCAGGGTTCGCTGGGCATGCCCATCCATCAGCATGTGCACTCTTCCACCATGGCTGTCATCGAGAGTCGCGCACAAGAAGCAATGGTCACCGGGGATGACCACACCCTTGCCAGGCACCATGCTGACACTCCAAGTCTTCAGAGCTGAAAACTGCTCCCATGTCGCATTCATCAACCAGCCACGCTTATCATGCAAGTCTTTGCCAGGCACTTTGTCCAGAGGCACCCCAGCCAAGAAGCTCTTGCCCTCCAACTGAAGCCTGCAGTCTGGCAAAGCAAAGTCGGTGTGCAGGCTCACCTGGCAACCCTTTGCTTGCTGAAAAAACTGCGGGACAAACATCTCCTTCACCAAGTTCTCTGAAGTCTTGACATGGGAAAGAGCTCCAGCGTTCGCCAGCTTGCTCCACAACCCCGTCATCTTCTTGGACACGGCAGCTTTGGTGACTTGGGCAGACAAGAAGGCACCAGAACCTACCTTTTTCATCTGCTCGCTCACCCAAACCTTCTGGAACTTGTAGTACTCGTTGTTGGTCATCTCGTCGCAAAGGCTTTGGGCCTGGCCTTCGCTGAACACCACAGGGCCAACTTCAGCCTCTGCCTTGGCATCAAGCAAATCCTTTTCCAAGTTCCAGAAAACCCCATAGTCTTTCTCCAAGGCCGGGGTGACCTGCAAAGCATCCAAGGCTTGCTTGCAAAGGGTCAAGTTGTGCCAGCTGGACCCACTTGCAAGCTTATTGCTGCTCATTGCAGAACTATTGGCTTTTGTGGCAGCCTTGTCTTTCTTCTTCTCCTGCTGTTTGCACTTGGCCAAGAAACCTTTCCAAGACTTGATCTCGTCCTTGTAGTCTTTCAAAGGCTGGCTTTGGCTCATCCAATCTTTCAGCTGCTTGGCCACCTCGGCAATCTGATTGTGGATGAACGCAGCATCCTTTTGCGCAACACCGTTCTTCAAGCTTGTCTCCCATTCAGCCTTCTTCTCTTCGATGTCGGCCAGGACTTTTGGAAGCAAGTCCTCACATCGGGCCTGGAACTCGCTGCCCTCAGCCCTGAGCAACTCAGTGCCCAAGTGTGAGGTTTCCTCAGCTGCTTGTGCAGCCAAAGCTTTCTGGCGAGCTACACCATCGTTCATTGACTGCACACCTCGCTGGATGGTCGCTTCCAAGCCCATGGACTCGACGCCCACACTTTTGATGGTGACAGTTGGCTCCTTCTTTTCCTCCCTCTTCTTTGTAGCTGTGGCCTCCATGGTTTCCATCCACTGTTGTTCCACCTCAGCATCAATGACCCTCTGCTTGGCGATGTCTTGGGCCACATTGAGCAAAGATGCTGGGGCTTCGAGTGTGCCCTCCAAGAAGGCCTGCTTATCGCTCTCAAGGCGCCACTGTGCCTTGGTCTTCTTTGAAGCTGCTTCATCCTTGAAGTCCTGCAGGTCTGCTTCATCCACGATGTCTGCACGCTGACGCACGCCACTGGTGAGGGAATGCTCCTTGCCAGAAGCCACAAGCACACCTTGGAAGCTGCGCAGCAAAGTTTCCCCACGCTTCTGCATCGTGCGGGACCCAACCTTTTTGCATTCAGCCTTGAACGCAGTCTCAGCCTCCTCGTATGATTGGTAGCGCTTGAGGCTCATTTGGCGAGCACACCACATTTCGCAAGTCTCAAATTGATCTTGCTCTTTCTCACCCCAGCTGGTCTTCTCTTCCTCCTGCACAAAGCCCACGCCAGTGGAAAAAGTGCGTTTGGTGCCACGTTCTTGCTGCCTTCGCTCCTCTTTCTTCTGCGTGTACCATTTGGCCTTCTCAGCAGGGCTCATCTTCACCAAGGTGGCCTTGACATTTTCTGCTGAGGTTCTCCTTTCCTTCTGTTCCTCAGACTCTGGCTTGTCACCTGCTGGCTTTTTGATTGCACGTGTAAGCCACTTGTCGGTGCTCACACACTCAAGGCAATTCCTCCTCAAAGCATTCCTGCCAGTAGGTAAGGAATCCTTCAGCGTGGTTGGCTGAGCACACTTCTGGCAAGACAGCCCTGCCTCTGGCTGAGCAGCAGAAGCTGTGGCTTCGTCTGAAGAACTCTTAGCAGCAGGAACACTTTTGGGAGACATGGCTCTATGGAGCTCAAGTGGGGTTCTTTGAGCTCAGAGGCTACTACTGCTAACGCTCAAGGCTTTGCACCAAATGGCTTTAAAAAATGCTTTGTAAAAATGACCACAAATTCATTGGAGGTCTTTCAAGGCCTTGTCTGACAGAAAGCTCAGAGCTGTACGTTGAAATCACTGCCCTCAAGTTCCTTTGCTCTTTTTTTGCACCTCTGTGAAAGCTACAGTGGCAACTAACAAACCTGAGCTGAATTAGGGAAAATAATTTTCTCTCCTCAACTCTCAAACCGTGCTTCAAACAAAAGCAGGGATGGACGATCTTCGACGGTCACTGCGCGGCAGTTCCTACCACTAGCTAAGTCCAAGTGGTCAGCTGCCGTGCTGCAATTGCAACCTAATTCAAGTGGCAAGCAGTCCTAGATAGTCCTAGCATCTCATTCTCTTACGCCTGTGCTGGATCACTGTCTCAGCTGCCTCGTGCTGCAAAGATGGGCTTGCTAAAGGCCCACTGCTCGGAATGAGCGCCGCCAGTTCGGTTTGGGACAGCTTCTGCACTCCCTCCCTCCTGAGGACCCCTGCTCGCACAGCAGCCTCAAGCAAGGGAGAGACCATGCAGGCTACCTGCAAAACATTGAAGGCATTCCCTGCACCTTTTGTGGCTGCAGCATCTGTTCGGAAGTGCTTGGTCAACGATTCGCTGTGTCCTTGAAGCTTGAGCCTTTCAGAGGTGGACAAGTACCTGTGAAATCTTTGCTTCTCCCATGAAGCTTTCAGGTCAGCCAAGCTCACCAAAAACACCTTTGGCCCTTGAGTGCGGAGAGAAGGGATGGCATCAAAGCTCAATGCTCCCCCATACTGACGCAAGGGGTTTCTGTCAAGCTCTATGCACATGACCTGCGCGGTCACCCCATCCTTCTCAATCGCTTCTGCAGCCAACTTTTTGTACAAAGCCAAGTTCGCCCTCATGGTGTCGGTCAAACTGCTAGGGTCCAAATTGGGCAAGCTGTCGTCCAAGTAGTCTGCCAAAAACTGCTTCTTGTCAAAGATTTCTTCGAAGACTTTTGGTGATGGTAATGGACTTTCGGGGTGATCAAGGCAGTCCATTCGAAGACCTCTGACCCAAAGCCTGGGCCTTGAATGAGGCATCAGGACCTGCAGATCCTGTTCAAGTACCTCCACTCGAAAAAAGGGGCAGCAGCAGACAATCAGGTCGATCAGCTTCCAGAAATAGCTGTGGCTTGCCAAGGCGGTACTGTTCTCAAGCAGGAAACACACCAAGCTTCCGCGCCAAGCCTGGTGGATGATCCATCTCACGGCTATTTCCAAAATTTCTGATCTGGGGTCAGCAAACCCGGCACCCCTCCCGTTGGGTGCGTAGGGCTGGCATGGTGGCCCAGATAGAAATAGTTCCACATCTGGCAAAGAATCATCTGCCACTTTTGTGACATCGCCTTTCTCTGGGCCACAAAAGACAGCTTCAAGGCCAAGTGCCCCTGACTGCCCCAAAGAATTGTAAAAGTCTTCGATGTCGGCGTCAAAATCATAGGCGCAAACCGACTGGTATTGCACGCCTGAAGCTTCTGTCCAAGTCCGCAGTCCCCCGATTCCACAGCATGGCTCTGCTGCCTTCACTGATCGGCCAAGGTACCGGAAAACTCTGCCCACTTTGTAAAGGGCGCTCGCCAAAGAAGAAGCCATTGCTTTGCGCAGTGGAAGCCCTGTGTGTTTCACACAAGACAAACGCCAAATGCAATGGAAAAAAAGGCCCAAGAAGTCTATCCGCGCTGATGTCGCTGTATCTGTTGGAATTGAAAACCTTATTTGTTTTGGAACGTACCTTAGACCGTACCTTGCTTGGACCTAGCTGCGGTTTGCCATTCGCAGCAAGTCAAAAAACATGTTCGCAAGTGTGCTTTGTCGTTTTACACCAATCCTGGCCAATCCTTTGTAAACAAAATGAATTGACAGCACACAGTGAACAAGAGAGCTCTTTGTGTGTGTGTGTGCAAAGAGACTTTGGAGCAGAAGAGACCTTTGTAAGCAAAGGATTCTGTTTAAATGTTGTTTCATCCCTTGTCAATTGACCTTAGGCCTATGCTAGGGCAAAAAGCTCCTTCATCACACTTCTCTGTAAAAATCCAAACACGCTAAACACAACCACTGCTGACGCAGTCCACTCACAAGGAAAAGAAAGGGAAGCTTGCTCAGCAAGACGCCGCAAGACATGAGCGAGACATGGGCGAGACACGGCGAGACACCGCAAGACACCGCGAGACAGGGGCGAGACACCGCGAGACACCGCGAGACAGGGGCGAGACAAGGGCGAGACAAGGGCGAGACAGGGGCGAGACAAGGGCGAGACACCGCGAGACAGGGGCGAGACACGGGCGAGACAGGGGCGAGACAGGGGCGAGACAAGGGCGAGACAAGGGCGAGACAAGGGCAAGACAAAAGCAAGACACCCAATGAATCAAGAAGAAACACTGAGAATGCATCCAACCTATGGGGGAGGTTCGGCACACTGGCTATCCTCAAAACTACAGTGAAGAAGGCAACGCCACATAAATCCAAACCAAAAGCACGCGCAAAGCAACGGCCGCGACAAAAAGAATGAATTTAGTGGGAAAGGGATCGAACGCATAAACAAAACACACGACAGCGTGCAACGCTAAGGCTATCCATGAAAAACATGAGAACTCTTATACTGAAACACCCTAAATACCCAAAACCAAAACCTTCTTAGACAGAAACCCATACCACACCTGCACAGCATCAAAGTTCTTGAACATGACAAGAAAATGCAGCAATGTTTCGAAAAAACAGGTTTGACATCGAAAGCAAGCCCTCTACGTCAAGTTTAGCAAGCTGCCATTTCTTTTGGCGCGTCTTTCCTGATTCATTTCAGTGTCACAAAGGCCAATGTTCTAAGACAATTCAACCACTCAGTCTGGGCCTGAAGCCTTGAACTCCGGGCTGCAACTTTAGAAAAACAAATGACAACACAAAATATAAGCTCAGGTGCTTCAACTTGAAAGGCCAAAAAAGCCCAGGCCCAAGTAAAGGTGTGAAGCCATTGTCACTGTAGTGGCTTCTCTTCCAAGAATTTCGCAGTGAGCTTAAAAAAGTCTGCAAGCAACTCACTCCTCGTATTAGCTGCTGTCGCGCTTGAGGAAGCAGGGCATGGTGGTTCAGAGTGGGGCCGCTTCTCCTCCACGGACCCCACTGGCTCCAAAGACGCGGGCTCTACATCCTTGTTGTCTTGGCCAGGCTTTTGCGGAGGTAAGGACACAGCTTTGTCTCGGGCATTCCTTGGACGGAACTTCCTGGAGAAATGATGAGCTTCGTTTGAATCAGCATGCTTTGCCCACACATGCTGGGCCAAGGCGAACTCTCCACAATGACTCTTTCCACACAGGCCACAGACCCATGACTGCTGAGGGCGGCTCGCAGAAGGCCCAGGTGTGAGCCTACATGGACTATGACCATCACGCCTATGGTGCCTATCACGCTGGCCTGAAGACGGTGACAGCGTCTTCCGCTCTAAGGGTGGACGGCGATCTTCATGACGATGACGACGGGGTGAATGAGGAGACTTCGTGCTTTGTCGGCGCCTTCTCCTTCCCCTCGATCGGCTTCGCTGATGCTCAGTTTTGCCCTTGTCGGCATCAGCATGGTGTGCAGGACGGCTGACCTCTTCTGGGCCAGCTCGTTTGCTGCGCTTGCCACGAGGAGGAGTAGGTTGGCCTAGGATCCTGGTTGGGCTTTCACTGGAGGAACCGGCCTTGCCCTCCAAATCATCATCTGCAAAAATTGTACGGGTGTCGTCAGCTGGCGAAGTGCTCTCGTCACGTTCCTTCTTACACGTTGCAGCCATCCTGGCCAGGGCCAGGGAATCAAAGCAAAAAAAGTGGAAAGGAATGTGAATTATCCTCCCTAATATTGTCCCTAATATTACTTTGCTCAACCGCCCTCAGCAAGGTTGGGCTGCTACATCCGCCCTCGAATGAGGGTTGGGATTCGCAACCGCCTTGGGGGGTTGGGTTGACAAGGCGCCGCCTTGATGCAAGGTTGGGCCCCCTCCGCCTCTCTCAAAGAGGTTGGGAGGTGGACCGCCTTAACACAAGGTTGGGCTTGCCTCAAAGTTTCAAAGTTTATTCAAAAAACTAGGTCTGCTAAACCTGGCGCGTCCCTGTTTCCAAGTTGCCCAGCCTCTGTCAGCAAGCAAGGCCACCCCAGGGCCCAAAAGACTTCAAACATTTGCTCGCAGCTTGAGCCAAGAAACAAGAAAACAAACAATGAAATGGACAATTGCTTTCGCATTGTGAAAAAAAGGTCTGACCTCCTGACTGACCAGCAGGCTAGCATTGCCACTGGTGATGACCTCTTGCCTTGTTTTGACTTTTTGCTCTTGATCCAGCCCTCTTGCCTTAGGCAACAAGACTATAGTCCAATGGATCGTGTCACGTGAAACAAACATGGAAAGCATGTTGCCTTCTTCAACTTCCAACAATTCAGGAATGAGCTTGTATACGCAGCATCTGCTCCACTTGTTGCCTTGTGGGGTCTTGCAGCTTGTGCTCGGCTGCAGTCCCACATGAAGAGCCCATGCGGTTCCAAGCCAATAGCCAAGACTCTGCATGAGCCTTACTGTCGTGGTTCTTGACAAAAGTATATCTTCGGCATTGCTCGTGGTGCACACACGCTGTAAAGCAACGCAAGTGGCCACTGGCATGGGTAAATCTGTCGTACAATATATAAGCAGCTTTCATTGTTGGTTCCTTGCGCTCGACTCGGTCCAAGGCCAGAGCTTCGTCTGGCATCTGCAGCACACCTCCCTCCTCTTGGGGCTCATCCATGATTGCTAAAGGTTTGGCTTTCGAACCTCTTGGCTTAGCTTTGCTCTTGTAATTCAAACAGTCTGCATCCTTCAACTTCTTGAAGGATGTTGTGTCGGTAGCCACCAGCAAATCCAAGTAATAGCTAGCAGGGGCCATGTGGTGAATCTG